AACCAGGTGACAGAATCACAGCCTTGTTCTTTGTTTGGGCTCCCTCCCTTCCCCCACCTCTGGACAGCCATTTGTTCTTCCCTGAGAAATTCCTCCTCCCTGACTTCAGGGAGTGGGCTGGCAGAGCCAGAGTGGAAAATCAGTGAAGCTAATGGTGTAGCAATGCAGAAGCTAGAGCCAAGAACACAGCCTTGGAGTGGCTTTGCTGCACTGGCCCCAGCTTGGCCAAGAGGGACACGTGAGCGTCCTCACATTCTCTCACTAGCCAGAGCTGGGTCCTCCCTACCCCACCCCCTTCCAAACCCTTGCAAACACCCTTTCAAAGGCGCTCAGCCACCTTTTTCTGGGGAGGAGATATGGGACAGAGTTAACCCTCTGGGGAAACCTGTGGCTTAGCACCTAGCAGATCTCTACAGGCCTAAATCCTCTACCCTTGTTCTCAAGTGAGTCATCCGACATCACCTTTTACTCCAAGGAATTCCACTGTCTTCTGGCAAAGGGCGAAGAAACTCCTCTTACCATCCAGTGTGAATGGGAAGCAAACAGGTCCTTTCACAAGAAGTTGTATGCTGGGGTAAGGGGCTGCAGGATGGGGGCATCATACATGTGTCCCAGGGCAGCCACGGGGCTGGGACCACAGAGGTCTGGTAGTAGGATACCCTCTGGTATCTGTTTGAGGATCTCTCTGCAGCTAGGCTGAAATGCACACCGCTCTGGGCCAGAGGCAGCTGCAGGACCTCCAGGGGTGGGGGGCTACCAGGCCCCAGAGACTGGGCAAGGGCTCTGGCACCACACGAAGCCTCTCCCCCATGGGGGCAGGTTTCTGCAGAACCCAGAGACAAAGCCCTGCTTTGTAGCACACGCATGGCATCCGGGGGCTCACAGCCAGGAATGGAAACGTGCAGCTCTGCCATTAAGTGTAACCTCTCCCCCTCCTGCAGGCCACCAGACTCCTTCAAATCTGGGTGGGTGGGAGGAGCTGTAAAACCCAGCCCATTAAATCGCTTATGAGCTGCAGGTTTTCTGAGCATGGAGGGAAGCACATGGGGCCTGAGGGTTCAACCCACAGCACTGCTGGACAAGGCAGGACCCCTATCCCAGCCACCAGCAGTGGTCTTGCAAGTGGTTTTGCATTCACCCACTTGCTTTCTCCCCATGACATTCCAAAAGAGAGAAAAACATACCCTCCCAAGCTCAAAATGTCTTTCCCATTGGTACTTGTCTTTTAAAAGGGGCGCTCCAAGCCCTGGCCTACGATCAGCTTCAGTTTCTCCTCACAACCCCCTCAAAGCCTGATCTGAAACAAGCTGAGACTCTAAGGTCCCAAACCAGAGAAAGGGAAGGAGAGGGAGCGGAGGGAGGCTGCTTTTCCTGGAACCCTTATTAAATCAACTTTCCAAGGACAGCCAGAAACTCCAGGCCCTCCCCAGTCCCTCAGGAGTATTTGCAGACTGCTGGCATTGGCACTGCCTTCAGCTGGGGGAGGGGCTCCTGACACACTGACACACACACACACACACACACACACACACACACACACACACTTACAGCAAGGCCTTTCTAACCAGGAAGACTCCATGTGAGCAGAGTTTGGGGTGGTTTCTTTCACCTTTTAGACAAACCCGTTATACACAGATTACAAGGGTTTTTTTTTAAAGACAATAGCAGCATTATCATTTAATATGCAGCAAGGCCATTTCTAAGGTTCCTTACAGCTTACAAAGCATGAAGACAGATGTTCTCTTGGGATGTCATGGCCACAGCAATTCTCTGTTCTACCACAAAACTATGAGACAACGTATGCAAAAGCACCACACGAAGACAAGGACTTACTCCACACACAGAGGACTGGGCCTTGTTCTCCAAGTGCAGTGGTTTTTCATCACTGTGTCCCAAGGCATTCCAAGTCCGCCCATGAAACAATATGCCCCACACCACATGGTGTGTCCTCTGGAGTCCCAGAAAAATGGCCCAGCAACTGCCATTTGTTGCCCATTGACAGTACCAGGCACTGTCCTATGAACTCTACAGAAATCCTCACTGATATTCGCAATGACCTTATGAGCACATACTCATCATCAACAGATTGCATAGAGGGGCACAGAGAGGAACCTTCCCAAGAGGGGGCGGTCAGTAAAAAGTAGAGCCGAGATCAAACCCAAGGTCATCCAAGGTACACAAATGCTCACAGCAGCTTTATTAATAATGGCCAAAATTGTTACTGATCCAAATGTAGGTGACCCAACGAGTAGGAGACTCACTGCAAAGGGGCATGAGGGAAGTTTCTGGGATGATAACATGTTTTATCACTTGACTGGGATGGCAGTCACATGGGGTGTAGACATTTATCGAAATGCATCAAACTACTCTTAAAGATTGGTGTATTTTAGCCAGGCATGGTGGCTCACACCTGTAATCCTAGCACTTTGGGAGACCAAGGCGAGAGGACTGTCTAAGTCCAGGGGTTCGAGACGAGCCTGGACAACTTGGCAAGACCTCGTCTCTACAATTAAAAAAAAATTAGCCAGGCATGGTGGTGCATGCCTGTAGTTCCAGCTACTTGGAAGGCTGAGGCGGAAGGATCACATGAGCCCAGCAGGTTGAGGCTGCAGAGCCGTAAGCATGCCACTGCACTCTAGCGAGGGCAAGAAAGTGAGACTCTGACTGGAAAAAAAAAAAAAAAAAAAAAGATTGGTGTATCTTATAGTTTGTAAAGTATGCCTCAATTGAGGTGACTTTTTAAAAATGCAGTCTAACTTCAATCTTCCCTGCTGCATGGTGCCCTAAGAATCCCTGTTCACGTCTCCTCCCCTCTCCCTCTTGTTCCCAGGACCAGTACTTTGTCCTCAAGACCTTAAGCACCTCTACCACTGCCTCTGTTTCCTATCCCAGCTAGATCCATAACCAGCAGCTTCAATGACTCCTCCTCCACACCCACGGCCACACTGAAGTCCTTTATGTCTATCCCCTTGGACTTCCCCTTCAGTTCACAACTGCCCAGGCCCGACATCCATACTGTCCATTTTCTCCACCCACAAGTACTTTAGGGTCCATCAGAAATTCACGTTCTCAAACCCCATCCAAGCTTGCATAGCTCTTGCCTATCTCCGCAGGGGCTGGTCCCAATCTGTACTCCTCACGAACCTCCCACCCTGACTTCATGGCATCTCATCTTGTGTCTCCAGTTGCCCAGAGTTGACACCCAACCTCCTTAAACCCACAGATTCTAAATCTACAGCATCTTTACTACTTTTTCTCCCCTTTATAATTTCCCAGGTCTCACCCTAACTCATGACCTCTCTTCCTCTAGCTAGACATTCAAAACCACCATTAGACCACCATTTCTGGCAACAGTAGTAGTAGAAGTAATAATTGCTACTATTGTAAGTGCTTCCTCTAGATGATCCCACTTAATCCTTTATGCCTCTCCTCATTTTACAGATGAGCAAACCAAGGCTTACTGTGTTTGAGTGATTGTTAGAGTTAGCGATGCAGCCACCAAGCGACAGTGTAGGTTCACTTGATTCCTTCTTCCCGTACATCCAAATTCAGTTGCCAAATTAATTTTCTAAAAGCTGGATCATGTCACTACCTGTTCAAAACTTCAAGTTTCCCATTACCTACCTATTTAAGTATAGTTTTCTTTAGCAAGCATCAGGCCTTTCATATGGTAATTAAATTCAATTCAATTTTTCCAGGTGCTACCTACTCACCAGGCAAACCATTCTCCATATACCTTGTGCATCTTGCTTCTGTATGCTCATTCAGGCTGTTCTAACCAGAATGTCCTTCATTTCCCTCTTCTGAGATCCTAACCTGAGGCTTTCTGCTCTCATCTTCCTCTGCACTCCCCTGTCTTTTGTTATCACTCCACTGTGTGGTTTAAACAGTCTACCCTGTATTTACTATCTCTGCAAGTGTCTCTCCTCTACCTGAAGGTAAAACTCCCTGCAGGAAGGATGGCCTCTCCCATGCTCAAGCTTAGACCTTGGTTTCAGTTCTATTACTAAAAGCAACAAGAATACCCACTCCAGCCACCACACATTCTAGAAAGTCTCGCACAACATTCCCTGTTCCTCCTCCTGCCCCTCCGCATTACTCAGGGGGACACATTTTCTCACCAATCACTCCTCATTCAAGCAGGCCCCTGATGGCCTGCATGACAGCCCCTTAAACACAGCCACCCTGTCTCATGCACCCCAGCTTTCACCCACCCTATGCGACCGGCCTCCAAGTCACAAGCCACACTACCCTTTGGCAGTAGAAATGTCCACATATTCGCGCTCAAAGGCCCTTGAAAGCCACCAGGTATGCTGTACCTGGAGTCTCCATGAGGTATTTTCCTGACTCACGCAAATACTATGAGTGGCAGGGCAAGTACTTCCGGTAACCAATGATTGCTCTGAATTTCCAACATGTCACAAGTCTCCATGCCCCATCACATTTCCTGTTTGAGGGGTTTCCCTTAGAAACCCCTCAAACAGTACACATCCAAAGCAGACCGCTTGGCAGGGTCCCAACAGGGCCTGTGAGACACAGTCAAGGAAGGCAAAATGCAGGCAGCAACCATGACTGCCAACCCTTAGAGAAGACGTGTCTTTGAAACAATATTCTAGATGCCAGAGTCTTCATTAAGCTCCAACCTCCTACAACATTCCTGGTAGTCCGACCCAAGTTCTAAACCATCATTTATAAGTCACTCACTCCCCACTGCACCACCCAACCTAGGTAAAGAGCCAGCTCCAGAGTCCCAACCAGATGTTCTTTCCTCAGGAAGGAAAAGCACAAACCCACACTGATCATGTCACCTCTGGCAAAAATGAGTGAATGTTTATAACCAGGCCCAAACCAATCCAGGTATCTCAGGAGTCTCGTCCATGGGAAGGGAGCCCTTTGCTCCACCTGTCAAGCACATCACCTCCAAACCATTATTTCCCTTCCACCCCCCATCCTGTGACAGAGGCCCAGGAGTCAGGGCTGACCTTCAGCCTGAGCCCTACCTTGTTCAGGCAAGGTCGGGGCTGGTCTAGCAGTGCAGAGTGTGGCTGTGACCAGCACAGCCCAGAGGAGGAGGCACTTCCAGCTCCACATCCCAGTTCTGCAGTTAGAGGTTGGTGACAAGCCTCCACACCTCCATGGATACTCCACCTGAAGCTCAATCCTCCGCTTCAAGCTGACTCTGGGAAAATAAAACAAAACACACACACACACACAAACATTAGGAAAGTCAGGTGGGGCAGGGGGTAAGGAGAAAAAGGAGGTAAAGCAAGTTGTGTGGTCGCCCTGCCTGGAAGGGTACTGGGAGCAGTAACTTAACTCCTTTGGGCACAAAGAAGAAAACTGTGATCCACCCCCAATACTGAACTAAAGGTTACAGGTCTTCATCAGTCAAAGGGGTGCTTTCATTGAACTCTACAGCTACGTTCTGAGTGTAGATGATGCATGAGCCTGGCTGGGAAGATCATCATGAGGTTCTCCAAGGTATAAGCTTCAAGACAGAGTGTGGTAGAAAGGGAAAGGCCTCATGAAAGTCCCAAGGAGTTCTGCCATTTTGTGGGCAAAGGCTTGACCAAGTGTGCTGCAACTGCAGGAGATAGGCATATTGAGACTCTCCAGTAAGACCCTACTTATCTACAGCAAACCAATCAACCCCTCTGGGCAGGAATAAAGGGCGATGAAGAACTGTGGACCAAGCCATTGACCAGGAAATGGGGGCTAGAGATAACTAGTTAGTAGCTGCTGGAATCAGGGAAGAGGCTGAACTTCCCTGGACCTATGAGACAAAGAAGTTGAAACAAATGATTTCTTGGGTTCTTTCTTTTTGCCTCCACAGCAGCATGAATCACAGGGCTCTCTAGTTCTACCAGTCTCCCTCACAGAGAAACCCTCAGCAACTAAGCACAAAGAACCTCAGAGGGTGGAGCCAGGAGGTAGATCCAGCACTCCCTGATGCTGAAAGGTGATAACTGATGTCTGACAGTTATGAGTCCAGTGGTCAGGGGGGAAGGTCCTAATGCAGAGTCAAGGGCTCTTGTGAGGGCTGACTCAAAGATGGCTCACACTGGCCCCAGTTAAAAGTCCAGAATCTGCAGCCCTTCACCTTCCTCAGGTCTGGAGGGGTAAAATTTAAAACAACTCCCTAGGGTCTTAAAGAATGAATCATTGCTGCTACACACTTACCAAGCAATAAGACTTTCTGGGCATTGACTGGGCTATGTGGGGGTGACCATCTCTGTCTTCCAGGTGGCTTCTGCCCTAAATGCTCCAGGGAAACTTCCAAGTTATTCAGAGAATCCACTACCCCGGAACATGCCCTAATGTGGTGCTTCAGTCCTGCCTCCCCCAAGCCAGGCAGGGCCCCTCGAGTGAGTCAGTCCTGGCTGGCAGAAAACCCCCTGGATTCTTGGCTGCATTCACATGTGCCTGACCAGCAGGAATATGCAGACAATACCACTAGCTCCCTCCCAAGGCTTACTCCAATTCTTTAGTAATTTTAAATCAAGAGAGAAGCAAATATTTCTTTCATTTTTTCTAAATTTAAGAAAGGAAGAGACAAGATGGAATTTATACTGAATAACCACTATGTGCCAGGCATGCACTAGTAATTAGGTACCATTAATTCATAGCTATAAAACTTCATCTATTTCTCACTATAAACTTATGGGGGATAGGAATCATTATTCCCCTTTAGGCAATGAACAAACTGGCTGGAATAGGGTAAGTCAAGTCCTTTGCCCAAGAACTTGTGGCTGGTATGCAACAGCACCATGAGGTTTTTGGATACGAGAGGATAGGATGGGAGGAAGCAAATAAGGGGTTGAGCAAACCTGGCTCTATCTCATGCAAACTCATGATCTTCAAGCCAAATAGATGAGGATAAAATGCAGTCATTCCGGAAATAAAAGAGCCTCGATTCTCAATTCCTTTGGTCAAAAGTAAGACACTTGTAAGCAGATCACAGATGGGCCATCTAAAAGGTAGGATGGGACGGGATGCTGGGCCCAGTACAGAAGTAATGTGTGCCCAAGGACACCCCTAAACTCACAGCTCACTCCATCCCAAAGATACATCTGACACAGGCTTGTCACCCAGAAAGGCATACCGGACTAAGAAAACCCAAGTCCTACAGTCACCTCCAATGTACTGAATACATTTGAGTATCCAATGGGAAAGGGTGGTGTCCACCAGAGATGAACAAGCTTGGCTTCAAACAGAGCAGAATGGCAACTTCCAAGGCACTCGGCGACTCTGTTCCCTATAAAGCCACCTCCTCCCAGGTGTGGGCTGACTAAAGACGGCCCTCTCCCTACTCCCTGGCCAATGCACTTCGAACTCATCTGGCAGCTTCCCTCCTGCTCATTCCCCAAAGAGGTGCAAAGTCTCTTCTCCTGCCCTCTGGGCACATCTGTAAAACAAAAATGATAAGAAAACCTGGCCTCCTGGGATAAGAAAGTGAGTGGGTGCACACCCCATTCACACAATGATACATGCCTCTAGTCCATAGGCCGTATGGGATCCAGGGGACCGCCACCTCCTCCTTCACCCCACCTTCTCATTCTACGAATTAATGAATTCTTCAAATCCCTTGGGAACAGCCTCCTTCCTTTACTGTTTGACAGATGTGACCTGTAACCTTGCAGGTGTACACAGCAGCTTCCTCAGTGACCCTGCAGCTGGCTTCCCGCCCCCCAGTCTCTGCTGTCAGTCAGACTGCTGGGATTCAAGGCCCAACTTGCCAGTGTGTGCAAAGGTCCTCCATAGGAAATGGAGAAGGGGACATGATATCTCAGGTTTTCCACTACCCTGCTTCTGTCACAGGTGATTGTGAAGATAGGATGGGTCATGTGGGAGCAAGTGCCTACTGTCTCCTTGGAATACTGACACAATGTAAGGTGCAGCTGGGATCTGGTGACAAAACAGGTGCTGGACCACAGGACCCTGCAGCTCTCCCATATTCTAAGAGTAAGCATTCTACGATCATCAGATCTCCCTCTCCAAAGATGATGCAAGCAACAACAACAAAAAAATGCCGACTGGGCTTGGTGGCTCAGTTTGTAATCCCAGCACTTTAGGAGGACAAGGCGAGTGGATTGCCTGAGCCCACAGGTTCGAGACCCACCTGGGCAACTTGGTGAGACCTCATATCTACAATAAATAAAAAATTAGCTGGGCATGGTACTGTGTGCCTGTAGTTCCAGCTACTTGGAAGGTTGAGGTAAAAGGATTGCCAGAGCCTAGCAGGTCGAGGCTACAGTGGCTAGGAGCGTGCCAATACACTCCAGTCTGGGCAACAGTGTGAGAATCCAACTCAAAAAACCCCCCCAAAAAACCAGCCAAGTCTTTTTTGTCTGGAGAAAGTATGAATCATGCCTTTCCATTACATCATGGGACAGTTACTTAACCTTGCTGAGCCTCAGTTTCCCACTTCTTGGAAGGGGCTACATCACAGGTGGTTACAAGGATCCAATGGGTGGTACGGGTGAAGGTGCCTGCTCTCTCTTCTCTAAAGTACCAATAAAAAATAAGAAATTACAAATATGAAATGTTTACATTTAATATGCTAATATATTTCTAGTTTTTTTGTTTTTGTTTTTGTTTTTAGTTGGAGTCTCACTCTGTCACCCAGACTGGAGTGCAGTGGCCACTACCGGCCACCGCAGCCTCGGCCTGCTGGGCTCCGGCGATCCTTCTGCCTCAGCCTTCCAAGTAGCTGGAACTACAGGCGCGCACTACCACGCCAGGCTAATTTTGATTTATTGTAGCGATGAGGTCTCGCCAAGTTGCCCAGGTGGGTCTCAAACCTGCGGGCTCAGGCAATCCACTCACCTCAGCCTCCCAAAGTGCTGGGATTACAGGTTGAGCCACCGAGCCCGGCTCTAGTTTTTACTATATAGTATTTTGGTCACTCATTGATAACACTGTCAGATTTGGTAACCGGTGTCAGGAGGAAAGGAACTTCCAACCTTTCCAAAGGTATTTCTCACTCTCCAACTTCACACCTACTATTGTAGACCTGTGGCCCATATGGTAGCCACTAGCCACATGTGGCTACTGCACACTTGAAATGTGGCTAGTGCTAACCGGGATGTACTAGAAATAAAAAATATACACTAGATCTTGAAAATTTCATATAAAAAAAAGAAAGTAAAGTATCAGGTCAATAATTCTTTATATTAGGTTGGACTTGGTGGCTCAGCCTGTAATCCCAGCACTTTGGGAGGCCAAGGCAAGTAGACTGCCTGAGCCCACGAGTTCGAGACCTACCCGGGCAACTTGGCAAGACCTTGTCTCTACAATAAATCAAAAATTAGCTGGGTGTGGTAGTGCGCGCCTGTAGTTCTGGCTACTTGGAAGGCTGAGGCAGAAGGATCGCCGGAGCCCAGCAGGGCGAGGCTGCAGTAGCCGGGAATATGCCACTGCACTCCAGTCTGGGAGACAGAGTGAGACTCCAACTCAAAATAATAATAATAATAATAATTCTTTATATTGATTACATGTTCAAATAAAAATATTTTGTATCAGGCTAAATCAACTGCATTATTAAAATCTAAACATAAATTAATTAAAAAAGGAATTGTGCCTGTTTCTTTTGATTTAATTTCAAACATGGCTACTAAGAAAGCTAAAAGTGAGCCGGGCTCGGTGGCTCAGCCTATAATCCCGTGCCATGGGAGGCTGAGGTGAGTGGATTGCCTGAGCCCACGGGTTCGAGACCCGCCTGGGCAACTTGGTGAGACTTCATCTCTACAATAAATCAAAAAATTAGCCAGGCGTGGTAGTGCATGCCTGTCATTCCAGTAACTTGGAAGGCTGAGGTAGAAGGATTGCCAGAGCCCAGCAGGTCGAGGCTGCGGTGGCCGGGAGCAGCCACTGCACTCCAGTCTGGGCGACAGAGTGAGACTCCAACTCAAAAAAAAAAAAAGAAAGCTAAAAGTGCATGTGGGTCATGTTATACTTCTACAAGACAGCAGAGCTCCAGGGAAATCCCAGCCTCTGGCGAGAGTTTCTTCCTTGTCCTTTCTCCCTCTGCAATGGGCCAGGTCTTTAACTCACCTTAGGAAGCTGTCTCTTCTACAGGCCTCTCTCTTCTGAACTTCTAAACCACATTATTGGCCGGGTACAGTGGCTTACCTGTAATCCCAGCACTTTGGGAGGCTGAGGTGGGAGGACTGCTTGAGCC